CTCGCGTGTCTTCCTTGTCTGTTCGCTGTAAAGCTTGCCCATGGTTTCCGCACATGTGTAAGCAGACTGACAGCCGTAAGTGTATTCAGTCCAACGGCGTGCTAACTAGCCCCGCCGTCACAACCCCCCGAAGAGTCCTCAATTGCTCCCTCAGTCGAGAACTGAAACGAGAGCGTTTCCGAGCCGTCTGCACACGTGTCGGCAGCCGACTGGCCGCTGCAAGAAAGAAGGGGTGTGGGAGACGGCATGGGTGTCCGAGTCACAATCGGGCTCTGGCTCGGAGAAGGGCTCGGGTTAGGACTCAGGTTAGGGCTCGGATTAGGACTCGGACTGGGAGGCGGTGCACTTTCCGGGGGGTTGGAAAGCGGGGGGCCAAAGTCGTTAAGGGGCGGCTGAGCTCCGACGAAGCTGCCGTACGGCGGGGGGAAAGGAGGTCGGGAGGGGGGGGGCAAAGTTCGGGCGGCGGTTGAAGGGCGACGTTTGCCGGCGGGGGGGAGATGCAGCTTCTGGTGGAGGGACGTTATTGGGGGGGGTTGCGGAAGCGGGGGGGAAGCTCGTTTGGTGGGGGCTGAGACAGCGGGGGCGGATTTGCTGGGGGGGCAACACCGAAGGGGGGCTTATTTTGGAGGGAGGGGGTTTCGCCGGAGGGGGGCTCGATTTGCCGAGAGGAGGAGACCCCGGAACCAGGCACGTGGGAAAGTCTTGCGAGATGTTGCTGGGGGTTTGAGAAGAGCCAAAGCAGGGGGTGAGCCCGATCTGGGGCGTGAGCGATATGAGCGGGCTGGTAGAGGTGTTGTTGAGTCGGCAGCTACACGCGCGTGCAAGGGTAAGTGTTAGGGACTCGAAGCTTCAGAAATGAGGAAGATGAAGTTTCAAAAACTCAACCTTTAAGAAGCAAAGTTGAAGGAATTTCAAGCTCAAAAAACCCATGCTCCAAGCCTAAAGTCTTCTTGACGAAGATATGAGCCTGTGAAGACCGCGTGGTGAATCTGGTGGGAAGGTCGTATCAGGGTAGGGGATAGCAAACGCCGTTCATCTCAAAGCAAGCGGGTCCGGTTTTGAGGATCAAAAACGGAACGGAACCAAGTGCTTCGATCCAATTGAGTCAATATACATTCTGTCTGCAATTACACTGGTTGAGCGTAGATAAGTTCGCAACCTTTCCAAGCACGAAAAGGCGATGACTTCGCGCACATAGCGTAGCTTTTTCAAACGGGTGAAATCGAAGCTTGTCTAGCGCGAGCGGACTTGGCAACACACATAGGCGGAGCCCAAAACGAGCGAAGGAGCGGACATTTCTATACTCAAAAATGGCTGAGAAGGTCTTTACGATTGCATCCTTTTAATCGTGCAGTCTCACCTACAAAGTGTGGACAGATACTGGCACGTCAAGTAGCCCCCAGGACAGGTGGCCGGGTTGAAGGCAACTAGATCGAGGCCCGAAGGGCTGGCGAGGCTGTCGTGCCAGGCGAAGCCTAGATCCACTGTAGCCGAGAACCACATGGGGCCCTGTATGGAGCCCACTTTGCCGGGCGTGTCGGAGATTTCCGTGAAGTTTTTACCCTTGAAAGCGGATATGTAGCTGACTCTCTGCAAGGCGGAGCAACGGGTGTTGTAAGCAAAGGGAAAGCCCCTGCTCAAAGGAGTTCGTGGGCTGGGAGGGTTTCTACTTGGGTTTCGTTAGAAGCTTCCGTTATAAGGGCGCGTGCAGCGAAGACATGAAAGGACCTTTGAACTCCTAAAGCCGTGAACATCGTTACTGATGGATAGCGTCTGGGCGTGGTACGACAGTGAGAGTATGCTCTGAGAGTTGAAGTTTCAGAAGCTTATCGGAACCTTTGCAAGAAAGGTCTCGTTTTGAATCATTCGTTTGTCAGATTTCCTTCGGCTTTTACGACGCGGAACAGGTATTGAAAGCGAAGGAGCGGACAAGGTCGCTCAAAGTGCTCTCGTCAGGATCGTCTTACTGAATAACTGTCATTGGTTACGTCCAAAACAACCGACTAGATGATCTTCAGGAGCTTCTCTCTTGGTCTGCAGTCCGACCGTCATGATGATACTTTGAAGTAAAGTAGCAAGGTGGTAGTCTGGACCCACGAGAAAATTTACGTTACTTCTCATGTAACATTTCACTTCGGCTCTCTTAGGGCAACGAAACATTCCAGTATCGAATCGCGGCCAGATTTGGAGGACGGCAGCTTACATAGGTCGACGGGTACAGCGCCAGACTGTTGCTCTGCGCATCAGTCACAAAGTAAGCGCGCTGCGTCTTTCGATTCACCGATAGCGATATCATCCGGTCCTTGGGCGAGGGGAAGAGGTTGAACTGGTCGAAGGGATTGGTGTTTCGAGGAGCAAAACTGCGCGGAACGAAACAGTGACCAATCCTTTCGTTTTTGAAGTCATCCGACGTCGTTTTAGTGAAGGTTT